GAAGGAAGGAAGGAAGGAAGGAAGGAAGGAAGGAAGGAAGGAAGGAAGGAAGGAAGGAGATGGAGGACAAGAGAAGGGAGAAAGGGAGGGAGAGAAGGAAGAGTAAGGTAGGGTAGGGTAAGGTAAGGTAAGGTAAGGTAAGGTAAGGTAAGGTAAGGTAAGGTAAGGTAGGAAGGAAGGAAGGGTAGAGAAAGGGAGGAAAGGAAGGGAAAGAGGGAGGAAGGACAACTAAGGGAGGAGGAAAGAAGGAGCTCCAGCAATTGGTATAATTGGACTTCCTCCCTCTAAAACGTGGAAAATGCTTGTAGCATCTTACAAGATGGAGTAATGCCCATGGAAATAGTTTATTTGAAACTAACTTGCACATGGCATTCAACAGAAGGAGAGAGACCCTGGACTAAAAGCAGTGAACTAGTAGCTACCTCTTCAGACAAAGGGAGGACAATGACTGTCATGGTGCCGGTGTGAATCCGCTGCATTCTCGAAGATAAGCCGGTCTGAGGGATTCGTTGCACCCTGTGAGTACCGCCTTCGAACTTCAAATGCCTGTAGACATGGCTTCCCAAGATACAGGCAGCAGCGTGGTGGAGCCCACCTTGCAAACAAAAAGCAAAGGTGTTTCATTTTGGGCAAAGGGGAGGCAACCTTTGGAGTCATCTGTGTGGAGGCTGTAAGAGGTGTTTTTCCTACCATAATCAGCTCGGCAGTACTTTATAATTTCAAAAGTCCAGCGTTTGTATTCTGAATAATTCTGGTACATATCAAAGACTTCTTTAGTAAATTGCTGGCAAATATCACCTGAAACATAAAAACCTGTAACATTTACTGAACTATCAGCATGAGCAACATTTTTAATGCAATCCTAACAAGCAGGACTAACGACAATATAACTAAACAAAAAACTGATAAATGTGGAATACAACACAATAAATCAGTTCTACAAACCCAAGAACTCAGTTTGGAATAATTTTTACATCTGACATCTTTGCTGACCTCCAGTTGTCCTGCCAGATGTCACTTCTAATAGGACACTACTTTCATCATATTTTTCTCTTGGAGTTATCTCCTCACAAAGCTGAAAAAGAAAAATGAATTAGTAGACAATAATTTTGTATGTCCATTTAGACAGCATTTGCAATATTCATCAAAGCTGCAATTCATGTGAGACAAAACAAAATTTTCTTTTTACCTGAATTTTGTACATATTAACACACATATTTATAACATAATGCAGAAACATTTTGTGTTGGGTATTCCCAGAGTTTCTCATAAGCTTTGTCCTATGAAGTTTATTTCCGCGAACCCCTTCACTTAACACATGAAAATACTGCCCAGGAACATACTTTAGCTCAATGTATTGTCGAAGGCTTTCACGGCCGGCATACAATGGATGGTGTGGGTCTTCCGGGCTGTGTGGCCATGTTCTTGGAGTTTTTTTTTCCTATGTTTTTCCCTGGGCCCCCGCCCTGTCAGCGGGCCCTTTTCCTGTGGGGGCGTGAGAGCAGAGGTGACTGAGAGCCTGA